TTATAGCTAGTAAAAAGCATGAATTGAATGATTGATTACGTACGAAAACTTCAACATTTTCTTGGGTTATTGGTATCTCTTTATATTCAAGAGCCTCGGAAGGAGCTCCAGAATCTTTGGTACAGCTTCCGACATTTGAATTTAGTGGGTGTTTTGGTTCAGTTGAACAATCTTGCTAAAAACAATTCTAAATTTTTATTAACGTTTTGGTCTATTATTTTGATATTAATGATAATGAGTAGATCAACGCCTATCACACATTGAAAATTACTCCTTAAATTACAGAATTCGTACAAATTCAAGACAATCTGAAAATATTTCACAAAAATCCGAAAAAATACGGTATTAAACATTTGGAACTTCTGTCTCTTTTCATAGACTGTCATAGGTTTTTTAGATACGGCGTTTTTATATGTTTCGCTCTCTAGAAACTCCTGTCCTGGAATGTAGGAATATATAATTGCCAGATTGTTCAAATGAACCCAAAAACCCTGACTTAATTCCGATGTATATATATATATATATATATATATATATATATATATATATATATATATTATATATATATATATATATATATATATATATATATATATATATAAAATTGACAAATAGATCTATAAACCGTAATCTCATACGGAAACATCACGTTTTTACAGTGGCGCCCTCTTTATGTAAACACAAACAGGTCCAGGTGTTAAGTGTGAGATTCCGGAAAAAAATCTGCAGTAATCGACTTTATCGGCGTAAGCGACTGGTGCGAAAGGTTTGGCGCGGTAGTAGAACAAATAAGGGCATTATGGCGAAGGGTAAACGGAATTCTAACGTCGGATTTTGTGTATTTGCTTTCTGCAATCTGTTAGCCTCGAAAAAAAGATATCCGGATACAGAGGCCGGATTGTGTAAGTCGACGTCCTGACGGAATGCTGATATTTATGGGATACTTTGAGGCGACGCCGAGGGGCCCACAACGACGCTTTCGGTTCTGTTTATCGACTGCGGGGTTTCGCTGATTTTGCCGTTTTTCAGACGGGGATAGAAAGAGATATGATTTCCGGAATGCTTGGTTTTGTTCAGATTTATTTTATGTTCAATTATTGAACTGTATCCTAAAATCCGGCGACGTCGTGTAGGGATTAGTCATTTCTTTGAATCTATAGTTATATGTATATATATATATATATATATATATATATATATATATATATATATATATATATATATAAATATATTTGAACTATATATATATATATATATATATATATATATATATATATATATATATATATATATATATATATATATAGGGGCAGTCCTCGACTAACGTCGTTTCAAGTTACGTCGAACAAATTTGTCGAAAATTTGATACTATTTTTCAAGCATACGTCAATTGATTCGATTTCCGGCATAGGTGAATTCACTTGTCGCGAAGTCAAAAGAATTGACTGATGAAGATCTTATTCTGAATTGGAGGCAAAAGTGCAACAAGAAGTAATCGAGTCACAAGAAATATCTCCTTCTATTAGTAACTCTGAAAAAGAACTTACACTAAAAAAACTTTCCGTAGCATTTGCAAATTAGAAAAATGCCATGTAAATTTTTGAAAAAATGAATTTTTATTGAATGTTTCCAAAGTAGCAAATATTCAAAATGAAGTTGTTGAGTTACACGTTCCTGGAAATGAAGAAACGAACAAACGATCTCTCTCCTATTTTGTTACACCTGCGTGACCGAATAAATTGTGCTTTATTCAATAGAAAGGCAACATCGACAGTTGACTAAACGGATGTGGCGAACAAAATTCACACTCGATCAACGCACGTGATTTTTCACCGACGATTTCGAAGTCATTATAAATCATCAGGATATCATCTGACTTCGCGTCCATTCAGCGCTAGTGGCCTATTCATATGCGACACAATGATATAATTGAAGTCGTGCCTTGTCGAAACATGACCGACAATACGTTTTCGGGCTTTTTCTGGCCGTTGAATCGAGAAGGCCGTGAAATCGCGTCGCGGGACAATTCGAAACGTCGGCATAAAAGAAGCGGAACGTGCCCCGTTATGAGAGCTGGAGATAAGCGGGTTCAAAGATGTGGGAGGACGTCGGATTTGCGTTGTCGTGGAGTGGATGTTATTTGGTTCAGAACGGGATAAATCGTTTGTTTGAGCTGATTTATGTCGAATCTGTTGTTGGAACAAGAGGGTTATCTGAAGACTTTCAATTCGGCACATCGCCTATAGAAATACATGTATATTTAATAAATGACACGGAGGTTTCGCTTATCTCTTGATGAAACATTATGTTAAAAACTATAAAATTAAAAATTAACACACTGACTTAAGTTTCACTGAATATATTTAAAACTCTACATATGTTTAGGGTGGTTAATCCATTATCAAGAGTATACAATATTACTCAGAATTACTTACTTCAGTAATATTGTATACTCTTGATAATGGGTTAACCACCCGAAACATATTTAGAGTTTTTAATATATTCAGTGAAACTTAAGTCAAGTGTGTTAATTTTTAATTTTATAGTTTTTAACATGTATATTTATCTGAGAATTATAGTCTAATTCAAACATTTCCACTGATTTGCAATAAAATTGTTGATTAATCTCATACGTTTATTTCGAGCTACCAGTCCATTACCAAGAGTTAATGCATATAGTTTTAAAACGTTTTCTCTATCTATTTGTAATATTGTATTGAATTATATAGTTGAACTTGAGTACCGTCATTTCGTAGCTGATAAATTCCTCAACCTTTATGTCATAGTATCAATTAAATGGGAAGTTTTGTAATTTCACTACTTATTTGAATACATTTATAGCTGACTTGATTTCATTGGTTTCATTAGGATCAATTTTTGTCTTTTCTCCATAAAATATGATATTTTATGTGGGAAATTGTTATTTTTGATTCAGTAACTATCTTTTAGATGGAGATGAACAAGAAGGAAGTAAATGATCATACTGTGTGTTTTGTGGAGTATTTGAAGCGATTGTAATGGCAATATCTTGTAAAGAAGAATTGATATAATTAATTCGTTTCATTAAATTGCATGAACAAGTTGAAAGAAAATTGTGCTTGTGCTGCTATGAGTAGGTATATATACCTTGTTTTTATACTCATATATGTTTATTATATATTAAACAAAATGAAAAGGAGTTTATTAAATTGAATATTAATCTTCATTATTAATAGGAAAAAGGAAAAGTTTGACATGTTCACTTATTTTCAAGCATAAAACAGCTAAATATGGGTACCCACTCACTCTATTATCAGATTATCTTCAACAGTTTAAGTTCTAATTTGAAATTACTGAATGATCATTCAGTATCAAAAATAATATCAAATTATTGGCTTAATGAATAATGTTCAAAAATATATTGAATAATGATGAAATCAAATTACAAGGTTGAGTCGACATGTTTCGAGGGGTCAGCTAATTATCAAGAATAACTACAAAAACAGGCAATGCAAATTTATATCTCGAATATATAATCCAAGAGCTGGCACCATTTTTTGGGTAGGCATTTGAGGCAAGCTGAGAACTTGTCACATACATCTCCTGATATAACCCAATACGGAATAGCAAACCTGGCTAGTGAGTAGCGGGGCTAAATCAACCCCTAAATTTTTTAAAATATTATTTTTTCCCCAAAACGGAATTTCTATATGTTGCAGTGTATACGAAAATTGAGGAACACGAAAAAAAAATGAGCCAGACGATGTAATCGGAGTTTTAACATTGCCAGACAGGTGCAAAAATATTTTGCAAAAAATTGTAATAAATGTATTTGAGGCAGCTTGAAATTTCAATGGAGTATTATTTATAACTACAAGATCAGATTCCCAAACAGACAGATCATTTTGGTGGGACTTTCCAGCTGCCAAGCCCCAAAAATTTAGGGGTTGATTTAGCCCCAGTACTCACCAGCCAGGTCTGCAATTCAGAAAATTAGTCAGAAAATGGTTAAGATAGTTGAAACTATATATGTTCATTGACAATCAGTTTTTTTTTCAAGATGTGCTGGTTTCTATGGCCTCTAAAAGGTCTAAACGTTTCTCTTTCTTACCTGCTTGGAAATGTTTAGTTTTCATTAATCGATTAGTTCGATACTTGATGAAAATCTAAATACTTAATTTAAATAAAACTAAGAAATTTTTTGATTTTCACCATAATTTAGTTAAACATAACAATCAGTTTATCATCTACATCTGATGAAGCCTCTGTGTTGGCGAAACAATATTGTTATGTTTATAATTATAGTGAAAATCAAAAATTATTTAGTTTTATTCGAATTAAGTTTAGTTTTATTGAAATCTATGAAGTGATTAGAACTGAGAAGCCCGTAATCTCAGTTATTGAAAATGATCATTCGAATATTATTGAATTATAATGGATTTACATCAAATAAACGCTAATACTATTCAAAATTATCATTTGTTTGAGAAAGAGTCGTGTCTTTGCTGTTAACAAAAGCATGTGTGGCATGCTGACGATTGTAGTGAATAATGCATGAATCAATTTTTTTGTCATATATTTGTTTATTTTTTCTTATTGTGACTTATCCTACATGATGTGAAATTGTCTTGGAGTAATTTATGTTTTTAGGGTTATTTTTTTTTCAAAAGTCTTTGTATACTATTGTGAAATCGACATAAAATTGAAGGCTCAATATAATTAAATTGAGTCCTTTTATGGTTTTTTTTCATGTCCTGAAATTTTATATGGGTACAAGAGAACAATCACACCTCATTATTCATAATTTGAAGGAGGGTTTTTTGTGTTATGAAATTTCATGAATTGTGAGCAAATCAATAAATCAAAAATGATTATATCATTATCTTTTTTTTTAATTCAGTGAACCTACAGTTTAACGCCGGTTCCGAACGGCCAATGGGCTTGTAATTAATGTACATTATCCTACAATAATTATCATCATTAAAATACCTACTCAAATCATAGACAAAGACATACACCCATGTCTCCACCGGGGCTCGAACCCGAATCCTATCGCACCATAGTCGAGTGTTCTCACGACTAAGGCACGTAGACCGGCCATATCATTATCTTATTATGAGAAAGTTCCAAATCTCAATTTTTCTTCGTGTGTCTGATGAATTTGTACTCGCTGAGGAAAAATGGGAAATGCAAATTGCGTACCATTTCGAATTCCGAATTTTTACTTGAAGCTAATCGGGTCGCGACGTTCCTGGAGCAGAAAACGTAAGAAATCGGGATTGGCGGAAACCTAATCAAAAATTAAGATTCGTGCCGATTTTATTATTACCCCAAAGTTGGAACCGAGAAGTCAGCCTGCGTGGGAAGGAAACCAAACTCAAGTTGGCACGTGTCTGATCTCGGAAAGTCTAGAAGTGTTAATTTTCGCCGAATTTCCCGAGGGAATGTGATAGCGTAGTTCGACTCCCGTCACAGAATCAAGTTTTACCAAATATGTAACTTTGATAGTATAGCATCGTACCTCGGATATGTTTATCTTGAGGATTATCAAGTGGTTGGGTTATTGAATTATAACAGTAGGTAATTAATAATAATCTCCCGCACAAAATTACGTTTACTCCTTAAATTAAACATCTATACATAAAATAATATTTATAGATGTTACATGAAATAATATGTTAGATATGTAAACAGTTACGGATCACTGTCTCTAAATGAAGATACATGAGAAAAAATATTATTGAGACTCTTACCTGTGCACGCTAATCTCAGAAACGGTTCATCAGATTTGAATGTCGTTGTCAGTAATACATTGCAGTAATGCTGAAAAAGTAATGCCAATTTAATGTTTCACGTTGAATATTTGTTTGGGAATAATCGGTCTTGTGAAGTGTTTGAAAACTCATTTATTCATTAATATTCTCTATATTTCGACACTTATTTGTGTCTTCTTCAGGAGAAAAACAAGCTGCAAAGTAATGACTACAGCGATAAATTTCAATATGTATAAAATAAAATTAAAATTAAAATTACTTACAATTATAGTTTACGCAGTGAATTTTGTTTTATACATATTGAAATTTATCACTGTAGTCATTACTTCGCAGCTTTTTTTTTATCCTGAAGAAGACACAAATAAGTGTCGAAATATAGAGAATTTATAATGAATAAATATAGTTATTATATATATATATATATATATATATATATATATATATAATATATATATATATATATATATATATATATATATATATATATATATATATGTGTGTGTGTGTGTGTCAGTGGCATTGACTGAAACTTCAATAAAGTTCATGACAAAGGTCTATATAAAATTATAATACCAGACTATATATTAGATTATAAGGACCTATATAATATACTAGACTAAACGAAGCTCTAATATAGAGCGGTGAAGTAGGTAACAAACATATGTATTTGCTAGAGAAACCGGCCAACGTCGTAGATGAAAGACTATTTGACTGGAGATGACTCATTTTTGACACTCGTGACATGGTGAACGCCGTAATCTATTCTTATTCGAATTATTTTTAAATATTTAAAACAAAGACGTGTTAATCATACCAATGTTATGATTATAATAATGTCTTTATTTCATTGCGGTAATTGAGATAATATATTAAGTTTAGCGAAAAGGTTCAATCCTTCATGTTTTTCATCGTAATAATGGTATTATTGAAAATTAAAATTTTCCTCGATTCCTATTTGGGGAAGAAATTATATGAATTTTTTTTTGTCTTACGAGTTCTAGATATGATTCATTATTTATCATTTATCATATTTTCATTCGATATTACAAAGTAAAAGATATGTTACATGTTGTTAATTCACCTTTTCTAATTGAAATGGTAATTTAGTAGTTTCACTAGTGAGAATATATGTGATTTTGTACACTTCAAAAATCTGCATAGATTCAACATAAAAAGAATTGCATTGTGTACCATAATAACAATTTTGTCTCTGTAAAGAAAAATATCAATTGGTCATCATATTCACTGGACTTCACAGCTGTTGACTGCTCTATTTTCGCAAATTTTCACAAATTCGAAACAGTGAAGGCAATTTTATTACTCTTCAGTCTGAAATTCCTTTTGTGTTTCTTCCTTTAATTTATTGCTTTAATATATATATATATTATTTCCGCATCAAATATCATTTATATATTCTTCAACGTCTCGGCTTAGAGCATCATTGTAGGATAAATAGTCATCTCACGGGCAAAGCAGTTTCAAATTTCCCAATCCGGAAAGAACAAATGCGTAGCCTAAAATGTTGCGACTTCCTTCAGAGGTTGTCTGTTTTTCTTAATTTTTCTTCTTGTGTTTTTCACCTCCAGGTTCCTACAACTAGAACTTGGCTACGCCGTTCTTCGCAGAGCCAATAAGCTCGAAACATGTGTCAACGGCTGCTATCTGCGGGATATGCCGATAATCTTCAATTTCATTTTAATTTTCTTCCGCATTAAATATCATTTATATATATATATATATATATATATATATATATATATATATATATATATATATATATATATATATATATATATATATATATATAGTTCAAAGATTCACAGGTAATTCAATACTAGTAAATACTGAGACTCTTAATCGAAATATCGAAATGTTTCAAATAAAACTCTCAGGGAGCTGTCTACACAAATGTTGTCAACGAGAACGAACCCATCACTTTCGAGAGTGAATATTAAGAGCGTTTCGAAAAATTCATCGATCTTGTTGAATGATAATAGGATACAATTGTTTCATCATTATTATGAATCATCAGTCCATATTTAATCAATCAATCAAGAATCGATGACTTTCAAAACGAACATAGGTCCCATACCAAATTAAGAGAAGTCCTAGAGAGTGAAATACTCACGTATGCTCCCTCTATCGGCGAAAGGACGTATAAACACTCCCTCGCGTTCAAGATTCCTACTCATGACAACAAGAGTGCGAGTGGAAGGCTTTGTAGATATTTCATCCGAACACTAGTATTGAATTACCTGTGAATCTTTGAACTAGCTACACTTTTGCCCGCCTGGGCGTGATCTGGAGCGATTAGGCATGGGATCATTCGTACACATTTCAGACAATTTTCTGTTGTGTTCGGATGAAATATCTACAAAGCCTTCCACTCGCACTCTTGTTGTCATGAGTAGGAATCTTGAACGCGAGGGAGTGTTTATACGTCCTTTCGCCGATAGAGGGAGCCTACGTGAGTATTTCACTCTCTAGGACTTCTCTTAATTTGGTATGGGACCTATGTTCGTTTTGAAAGTCATCGATTCTTGATTGATTGATTAAATATGAACTGATGATTCATAATAATGATGAAACAATTGTATCCTATTATCATTCAACAAGATCGATGAATTTTTCGAAACGCTCTTAATATTCACTCTCGAAAGTGATGGGTTCGTTCTCGTTGACAACATTTGTGTAGACAGCTCCCTGAGAGTTTTATTTGAAACATTTCGATATTTCGATTAAGAGTCTCAGTATTTACTATATATATATATATATATATATATATATATATATATATATATATATATATATATATATATATATATATATATATATATATATATATATATATATATATATATATATATATATATATATGACTGTACATAAGACAATTTTAATTTTCTGTAGACCAGTTTCCCATTACTTATTTATGTTTTTTTTTCAGGTAAGTTGAACGCTTTCAAACTGTTTTCGATATCGGTGAGTAAAAAAATACTTTCATTAAAAAAAATCAATATTTTCCAGTAGATTCTTCAAAATAATAAAAGAATATGATAATTTGTAGTAAGACAAAAGTACTTTTATTATGAGGAAATTATGGAACATATCGAAATATATATGTGGAAACCTAATAAACAAATGAACAGTGTCGAGGAATGAGCGAATCTAGCTCCTGGTGGAAAAGTGCAATTACTATAACCATGATATTCTATCATTGCAAAATACTGAATAACACCTGCACTGAAAGTATCTCTGAGAAAAAAAGTATTTAGACACAATTTTAAAACTATCGACACAATTATTTGATGTAATTCATCTTGAAATATAGTGTGCTGTTTCACTGAATATCTCGTGGAATAACGCAGGAATTTAACGAAGAACACCTGCTCTGATGAAATCTGTAGAATTGAAAACAAGGCTTTTTTTTGAGATAAAATGAAATCATCGAAAATGTTTGGTGAATCTCAAAATACCAACAAGGAAAAATGCAACTTTTGTATTAGGTAAAGCTCGTCCTTTCACCTTTTCGATTCCTCAACCTTTCTTAACTGGGTTGAATGTTATCTCATCAGTTATTGGTACGACTAAATTAATCTTCAGGTGGAATATTTTAAGAAATGATTTGAGGTCTCCTGCCTGGTTGCATCTATAAAGGAAGGAAATTTTCATAGTTAGTATGGGTATATTATTAAAATTTCGTAGAAAAAAGGAAGAAATACGCAATTTAAGATGAAGTTCGTCAAATGAACTTTGCGTTGATTTCGCTTTCGTTCCGTGAACGTCGTCTTCGTGGATCAACCGTCTCTCCGACATTTGCGCGAGCTTAACGACGCATTTAACAGAATAATGATAACCCGCACTGAAATTGGACATTAAACGAAACGATTCGCATAAAGTGGTAAGTTTATATCGCCTCTTAATGACGCGTCACAGAGGTCCACTGTGCAGCGAGGTCGGCAGATCCTACAAGATGGAACGTTGATGGATGGAACAGCGTAAGAAAATATCGGGGAAATGCGAGTCGATGATACGGAGAGAGACGACGAGCCAGGTGTAGTGGGTTAATTTTCCAGGAGTGTTAATAGTTTTAGTTACAATTAAGGTGACTCCTGTTATTTCTAGTGCGCTTGTTAGTTGTGAGAACAATTGTTTGAATTCCTCAAAAATGTTTTACTCACTCGATTTTTGTTTCGCCCAGGTACCTAACCATTTTCAAGAGTTTCATACCACTGAACTTTCATTATATTGAGCTCTTGATAATGTACTGATAACTCTAAAATTATGTCGAGTTTATTGAAGATTCTTGTAAAATGTGAT